CTGGACACAGTGAACATGAATCTGTAGTGTATGGAACAAGTTCCATGTCCTCAGTGGGAACAAACACTGCATCAGCTCTCGACCAAGGGGCTCGGTGAAGGCAGGGTCACTCCACAACCACTGGGAAACCAACTTACCAGGGACATGTATGAAGTGTACACCCTGGGTCTTTCTCAGCCAGGCTCCTGCTTGGCCAGTTGCTGTCTGGCCTATCTGGACAGTAACGCAGCACACAGCTAATTCCCAGCAGACTTCCACCTTCATAGCATGCCACAGGAAACTTGAGGTGCACTGCAACTCTCATCCGAACCAAGAGCCAGCCAGAGAAATGGGGTCCTTCATCCCAGTCTGGTCCAGTGAAGTGAGCCCTCAGCTGGGCCTTTGCTGCCCTCCTGCAGCACTCTGAATATAGTGGGGCTGGCACGCAAACCACCCAGGGCTAAACCTGTATTCCCAACCTACTGCAAGGCTGTCCCAGCCAGCAGGAAGATTACCAGCCGTTGGTTTCTGTGGGAGGCCATGCCTGCTTCTCACCTGCACCCTCAGGGTCTCAATGTAATTTGTCCCGTAAGCTCGGCGCGTGAAGTCTGACAGGTTGAACTGGATTTGGTTCCAGCCGTCGTCCAGACGCATGGGCATGGTGCAGATGAAAGGCTTCACCCGAGTTGTGGTGTTGTAGTTACTCGCCCGGAAACGTCGGCGCACATTCTTGTCTCTGGTAGTTACTTGCCCGGAAACGTCGGCGCACATTCTTGTCATCCAGCACCTGGGGCAAGGAGGGCAGGCTGCTGACCTGGGTCATGGCCCCGACTGCCCAGGACGGAACCTGTTCTAGACACAGGCTGTACCCGTCTCTGAGAGGGTTCTCCTACTCCCACCCTCCATTTCACAGCAGAAGTAATTTTAACACAAGAAACAAACCCATTTTCAGGAATAGCAACGATGTGCTTGGTGAGCTGACTGATGCCCCATAGCAGAAGACCTGATAGATCACATGGCCAAGAAAGCAAAACTGTTTGGGAAGCACTCGCTGCCTGGGACAAGTTCCAACACAAGACTACAGGCTCCCTGGCACCTTCCTCGCTGGTCCCTGGAGGAGCCTCCCTACTGCACACTCCTCACCTGCACTTCAAAAGTGAAGTAATTCTTCAGGTTCTTGATGATCATCACTAGAAAAGGTAGTTTGATGCCCAGGGTCTTCTTTGGGTCAGCAGGGCATGTGATGTACGTGGTACTGAGAAGGGACAGAAAAACACTTTAGGATCTCACATAGCACAAAGAGCACAGCCTGGGGTGACACGAGTCACTCCCTTGGCCCAGTGCAGCCTTAGAGGACAGAAAGAAAAGGATAGCTGTGATTGTAAGACCTCAGCAACAACCAGAGCTTCCTATAACAGGAGGGAGAGTTTCAGAGGTAACTGCAAGGAGAACAGGACAAAAGGCCCAAATGCATTTCAAACCCACTTTTCTCACTCAGAGCGTGAAATACCTTCCTGGACAGCTTTACCTCCCCAGGTTCAAGGCCATGTCAGCACTTTTGTATAACACAATCTCCTCCTACCCTTGACTGAACAGGTAGAGCCCTCCAGAGCACAGCAGAGGCCCCGTGTGCTCTATATGGCTGGGAAAACAGAGGTCATGAGCCCTAGAAGTACACGTCACGCCTGGCAAGTTCTGTATCAACACTTCTTGGGGGAAGAGAAGTGTTGGCTCAGCCTGTCTGCAGGAGAGGAGTCTCCACTGCCCTTATAAGGAGCGCCCTGCTCTGAATCACCCCTGGAGAAGCCTTGGAGACTCTGAGCCTGCTCACAGAGCTGGCGTCTGTCTCCTGGGTCGATGGAGGCAAAGTTGCTAAGTGAAGCACCACAAGCAACTCCCCTCATAAATCTCCCTTTGATCTTCCTGCTGTAGGGAGAGCAGCTGTCACGTGGGGAGAGCAGCAGAGCAGGCCTAAGACAATACAAGATGCAGCAGACAGTGCTGCTTTCTCAGTAACTGAGCTGACTGGGACTAGGTATCAAACATAGCTTTTTCCCCCCCTCAGGTGATGGAAAAATGATGGGACTATTTTTTTATCCCTTAGCCTCACTAAGGATGACAGAGAGGTCTACAAGCACATCCAGGGAAAGGCAGGGTACAGTGCCACAGAGGAGTATCAGTGATCTGACCTCAGATTCTTCAATTTATTGACAACGAGATTGCAGTAGACCTTGAAGATGTCTGCTGGGCACTGACATCTCTCACTCTGCTCCAGGGCAGAGTGTGCCCCCCCAGGGCACATTAGGGCAGAAGACAATGCCTTCTCCTACCTGACATTTGTTCCTTCAATCTCCAGCACCAGCGACTGAATGTCATTGTCTGTGATTCGCTTGATGTGGCCATTGCGTACCTGGAACAAAAGTGAGGCAGACAGCACAGACGTTACTTGAGAGGGAAACAGGAGGTGCACACAGCTCTATCGAAAGGCGGAGGAGAAAGATCCCTGGAGGACCCATCTACATTCACTTGGCCCTTATTCTCCTGGACTCAGCCATTTCCAAGGCTTTCATCACCACACCAGAGTGCCAGGAGTCTGAGCAAGAGTTTATGGCCCAGTACACTGCACTAACACTGAGTGCAAGGCTTCCATCTATCAAAATATGCTACAGTGAACACAAGGGACTCAAGTCTCATATTAGAGACCCAAATAAACAAAAGTGTCAGAGCAAGATCCAACTTGAGTGGGATAGGGGGTAAAAACAAGTGCAATCGATACAGCAAAGGGAGCCACCAGCCAGCCACTGGTCACCTAAGGGACTTAGCTTCTATTGCTGGGCACAGCTGACTGCCTCTGGGGAAGAGCTGGACCAGCTTAGATCTTGGGTACAACCCCTCATAATTACAGCACACACAAGCACAGAGCCATCGCCTGCACTGCTGAGGGGCATAGGGATTTGGCTACTGAGATGCAGCCAGCTCCCTACAGAGCTCTGGGAGGCCAGGGCCGGAACCAGGAGCCAACACAAATCCATTTTTCTCCACAAGCAATATGGCTGAATCCCAGGGTCTGAGGATTTATTTTTTTAACGAAGCAGCTCACTTCCCATCAAATTTATCTCCATTTAAAAGGCACCTTTGCTAATTAAGCCCTCTGCTCTCCCCCAATGCTGGATCAGCGAATTGCAACATTCCTCCTGACTCCATGAATTAATTTCTTTAGCACCCATCACCATTGCTAATATAAAGGATACATTAAGCCTCTAATGGGATGGTTCCAGTCATGAGCTAAAAAATGATTTACAGGTTTAGCAATTCATCTTTAAAATCCATTTCTTAAGAGGGACCTACCCCCATCTGTCTCTACACTAAGCAGTTTCAAGGAACCTCAGCCTGGATCATCCAGGGGCTGCTGTTAAGCATGAGAGTGCAGCTCACCCTGCCAGGCTGCTCTTAATTCTGCTTCAATCCTGCACAGATACTTCCAGAAAACACTAAGCTCAGAGAGAGGATCCTTACAGGATAACCCTATTTCTCCACTGCATCATGTGAAATTTCCATGGATTTATAGGTCTCTTCAGGAGAAACCAACTGCATGAGGTCTGGACAAGTTGTCTTTTTTTATGTTTTGTTGTAGGGGGTTTGTTTTGTAGTTTGGTTTTTTGTATTGAGTGGTTGTTTGTGTTTTTTAAATTACCACCCAGCAGAAGCCTCATGTGCATCTCTGTATTTGAAGCAGCAATTGACATATGCAAAATTAAATCCTGGAAGCAACTGGGACAGAGCATGAGGCCTGAACACCAGGAAAAAACCTTGCCTAAGCAGGTGACAGCAGTGTGCAACAAAGTCTGGCTCTGCACCACGTAAGACAGCTTTCTTCAAGGGGAGCTTATGGATCCACAGAGGGGAGAAGGTCTGGGTGTCTCCGGAGAGCAGTAACAGAGAAAACAGCTAAATATGCTTTAAACCAATTAGTCAGCAGTGTTTCCATCTGCAACCAGGTCCCCATCCTTAGCCTGTGAAGGCTTTCCTTCCCCAGATTACAGGGACAATGAAAAGGGACAATTCTTCTTCCTCAGTGTTGCCAGGAACGGGAGGAAAGACAGCAGAAAAGAGAGGAGATAAGTATAAAACAGGGCCAGGCTTGCCCCTACACCTCACAAAGCTCAGAAAGACAAGATTTCAGAAAATCTTGGAAATCTCAACAAAACACTTGACATTTCTACTTGGACAGTATTTTCTAGCCACCTTAGGTCTAAGAAGCTGGATTTTTCAAGCTCAAAAAATGGGGTAACAGCCTTGTTAAAAAATAGAAGTTCTTCAAATGCCTAATATCCTCTGAATGAGGATAATTGGGAAGTTGCCTGCTGTCTAAAGACAGACTGGAAAAGCTTTTTCACATGCAAAGCTCAAGCCTTACAGGGTTTGGAGAGAGCAGGAGCTTCACAGACAGTTGTGTCTGAACATATATATTTCTTGAGGCTGCTGTTGCTGCTGGCAACCACAGTCAAACGTAACAGAGAGAGGAAAAGCAGCAAGGAGCAATAAATCCCAGGCCCAGATGTTCACCTGCTGGCAGAGGGGCTCCTGTGGTCCCAGATCAACCTCCAGTTGCCAGCTGCCCTGTTGTAAGGCAGTGGGTTTGTGGCAGCAACAGCAAGATGGCCAACACCCAGTCTGACACAGGCAAGGGCATGTCCTTGCCTCGGGACAGGCCAGCACCTCTCAAAGCCAGTGGCGGGTTCAGAACAGGCACGAGGCCCTTGTGCAAAACAAGGGGTAAAAGCAGGAGTGACCTGGGTCTTGGTGCACGGTGGTTTGGGGAGAAGCAGCAGCAGCTGGGGCAGCCCAGACAAGGATGCTGTGTGAGGGAACTAATGACTCAGACAAGCGCTGCAGGAGAGGATCCCAGCACAGTGCTCACAGGGACTTGATCCTGGCCACACTCATCAGGGAGCTGCTGCCTGCATCCCGGTGGTAGAGCATGCATTTGATGTTCAGATGGATACTGAACACTAGCTGACCCTGTGTCCTCACAGCACCATCTGAAATTGCTAAGGATGTTCTGCATTACCATACCAGCCCCAGGAATATGGAGAAATCAGCAAGAGGATCAATGGGTTTGAGAAGTTTCATTGAACCACTCCCATGTGCTCTGCAGAAAAGCATCAAGTCACCTGGAGACTGGTCAGTGTGTGGTTACAAGTGCTCACAAGGAAAGGCTTCCAGTGCCCCACTTCTACACCTGTATCTAACAAAGTTGCCTCTACTTCACTCTGTCTCCACCAGCACAAGCATTGCATATCCTAATAGGGCTGAAATAGAAATGGTTTCCCTCATGTCACAAAAGCTTGAGATTCCCCAAGATCTAAAAAAACAGAAATCATGGTCTGCTGGTTCTTTTTGCAAAGGTAAGAAAGTCTACATTAGGCCAGTAACACGGGGCATTCAGCTAGGACATCAGAACATCAAATCACGTTTCAAATTATCATCAAAACAACTGGGGCATTTCACACACCCCTGAACAGAGCAGGGTAATCCTCACAGCAAGTGCATCCAGGCTGGTTGTGCTTCCTCAGGATAAGAAGAGCACCTGCACACAGCCCTGCTGCTCCCTGCAGGGCTGCCACGGGGCAGTGCCAGACAAGCTCAGACACATGTAAGCCCTACAGCCAGCTTGTACACACAGCTGCTGCTCTTGGGAGCAGCAATCCTAATTTTTCTTCAGTGTTTTCTGGCCAATCTAGCGACTATTACAGCCAAATGGACCACTGCTGACATCCAGCCTGCAAGCTGAGCTCCCACTGGCCACCCATGAGTCACACAATTGCAATGGTACCACCCTGCACAGGACAACTCAGGTGGAAAGACAGCTCAGGACGTCTCCAGTCCAACCTCCATCTCCAAGCGAGGTCAGCCCAGAGTGCTCATGGCTTAGCCAGTCTGGAGGCACAAGTACATCCCTTTGTCTAAGAGTCTTTAATTCGTCCCGTCCTCACACTGTCCATAGAAGCTGCTGATCCTTCTTTAAAGTCATGAATATTTGTTCAAAAGACACCCACACAGCCAGGCTGTGGGAGGCCACCCAGTTCTTCACAGAGCTGCAGGGACACCCCACTGACGGGGAACAGGCTGGGGCCATGCTGCCTGGCCCAAATGCTCATACAAGCCCACTCAGGTCAAACACTACTCCTATCTGTCAAACTGCCCCAAAGGCTTTAATTCCCGCTGAAACCACAACAAATTCAGCTTAGGTCCAAGCCCAAGTAACCAAGTACAGATTGTAACCTCGGAGAGCCTCACTCAGAGAGGATAATAAGCATTTTGCAGAGTCCCCCATAGGCAGGAACAGAACCATGGGTGGTTTGTGAAGGGGAAGCAGCAGGTCTCAACAGCTCCAAACACCCTGACAACTGCTCCTTGATGCTAGATACCTGGGAGAAGGCAGGGGACCCTCAGCAGAACCACTCCAGAAACTGACAGGAGGGAGAAACAAACAGATGAGACATTCACAACTCCAACACCATAAAAGCTGCCACGGGGGAGCCCCTGCTTGCAAGTGATGGGACTTTTGGTATCCCACTGCCCATGGGCAGTGCTGGACACGTCCATAACCTCTCACAGCGCTGCAGCCCCTGACACCAGGCAAGGCTCTTCTGCCCAGCAAAGGCAAAAAATACTGTTAGAATAACACACTGCTTTCTGAAGCACCCCAGAGGGTCCTGATAACCACACCTTGGGGGGGCGCGGTAACCCAGACCCGGGGGTCCCGGTGACCCAGACTCGAGGGGTATCGGTGACCCAGACCCGGCGGTCGCGGTAACCGAGCCCAGGAGTGTCCCAGTAACCAGGCCCCGGGGATCCCGGTAACCGAGCCCACGAGGGGCC